AACCTAACTGTAGAACCTTGAAATTTTCAACAATTAATATTTATATTAGAATTCTCCATAAAACATTTTCTCAATATTTTGACTATTTTTGAGCTAGTTAGGCTTGAGCCCTTGAGAAATTTTTCCATTTTTCTAAATTTTTTTAAAATTATCCTCGATAATATCTTTTTCATTTAGTAAAAAATCTTGAAAATGTAATGATAGGTTCCTTATAATTTTTATTAATGGAAGTTTTAAAAATACATAGGCTAAATTATTTGTTATATTCTTATAAAGTTCCAATTTTGACAAAATTCATAAAAGTTTTTTTTTCATACCTAACTTGAGACATTTTAATAGAAGGTTTCTAACAAGTTTTTGTAATTCTATCAAACTAAAAAAGTTCCCCAGGAAGCCACGTTTTCGATCTTTGTTAATTTTTTTTTTAGCTACTAAATTTAATTACCTACTTTTACAAGTGTGATAGGATGATACAATGTCTCCGCTCAGAATATTTTTTCGTTTACAATAATTTATCAATGTAATTTAAATATAACACATCCATTACAACGACATGCTTGACACCCACTGTACAGCAGAGCGGTACCCACTTGTCTACCTTTTTTCATATTGTATTAGGTGTCTACTATATTTATAGACTTATTAATTTATCAATATTATTATATATGTGTTTACTGTTTTATTATTAATTAATTTACTTATTCATAGTATTGTAAGTACAAAGTACTATATTTTTAAGTATATTTGCGAGTAGCCATAGCCGTCCCAAGGGGGGGGGCAAATGGGGAAAGTGCCCTAGGGCGTCTAAAGTATTATGAATTTAGGGGGCGTACTAGAAATGGATGATAAAAAGAAAAATTTGGTGTTCTTATTTTAGGTATTATTTTTTTGTTTATACTGTAATATCAAAGATGAGTATCTATCAAATTGTATACTATTAAGTAGGTATACAATTATGTAAATAATGTGTTAAATCTTAATGCGACATAACTTCAATAATAATATATTGAATATTCATAAAAACAAATAAAAATATTAATACTTATAATTTATAAGATTATTAAGATTACAATAGTAATTTATTTAAGCACATGAAATATATTTTAAATATGTATATACATCATTACAATAATTAAGTAATATACTGTATACTAATATACTATATTGTAATATACTTATTATAAACTAAACTAATTCATATCTTTGGTACCTAGTAGTACCTTTTTTTATTTTTGTGTCTGTCATCACGTTTTAGGACAGTAAAAGTGCTTGGATTTTCTTCAACAGTATGTTTTCTGATAGGAAAGTGAATCTAGTTGGTACTTTGGGGGTGGGGGGGTCAAAATTTCCCAGTAGTTTTCACAAGCACCGGGAAAAACAACATAAAAATTAAGGAAAAACGGGAATTTTTACGCAAAATCTTATTTCCAAAAAATCGATTTTGATTTTTGGTGTAACTCTAAAAGAAATGAACGTATATACAAGAAATTTTCACTGGTTGTTTATATTTACATTTTGTATACACGATAACATTTTCAAAATATTTTGATTAAATTTGAACTGTTTAGGGACATTTTAATTTTCCATTTTTTTTTAGTTTTTTTTTTTAAAATATCAATAAAATTGTATTTGTTGGTTAAAAAAGCTTGAAAATTAAATAGAGGGCTATTAGTATATTGTTTCAAAGGCAAATGAAAAATATTAAAAATCCTTAGTCACAATTATTTTTATAAGCATTTAATATTCAAAAATTGACAAAATATGGAAAAATCACGAAAATTAGCAAATTATTTTGAGTTAAGAATTCGTAAAAATTTTTCTTTTTAAATCTAAGATTTGAAAATGTAATACAAGATTCCTTATAAGATTATCTACCTTTATCAAAAAAAAAATGTCTATAAGAAAGTCAAATTAAATTTTTATGAGCGTTCGAAATCCGTAATATTTAAGTATAAACGAACAATTTCAAAATGTTTTAACTTAATGGATTTTTTTAAATCAACTGAGAAAAGCTAAGTTATTTCAATTGTAAATTAAACTATTTAAGTTCATAAGTTGATTAGAAAATAAACTAACTAGTTAAGTTAAAAAGTTAAAAAAAATTAACTTTTTAACTGAACTTTAACTTTTCAACTAGTTAATGCCCACCTTTGAATTTTATAATCACTTATATTCACTTGTGCAATTTACAATGTTGATTGTTATACTACACTGTTATTACACACGCAGAAACGCAGAATGTATGATTTATAATGAAATCTAGGTACTAATTTGTGAAAATAGTTATATATATTTTCTTTCTGTAATGTACGAGTGTTCCCAGAATAATGAAATCGGTGTTCAAATATAAACAAAATAAATATGATCCCAATAATAATATTTAAAAAAATAAGTAGGAACCTTTAATTAATAAGTATTAAACATATTTAAGGTATGTGGTTAATTATAAGCTAAAAATGCGAAGTCGAGATTTTTTGGTGGGAGGGTGAGGGGCGTCAAATATTGTTGCCCTAGGGCGTTATTGGTGGTTAGAGCGGCACTGCGAGTAGCCCCCTTATACCTAGGTAGGTATATATCATAATTCATAATATTAAATATTTAAATAAATGCAACTGCCAACTGACGACAATGACATTTTAGGCCCCACAAATTTACTCTGCCCCGGGCCCCGCAAATCGTCCGGACGGCCCTGTACTGTACAGTAGAGCGACACCCACTTGCCTACCTTTTTTACTTGTACAGTTATGCTAATTTTTTTATTTATTTTTATTTTTTATATGAAATATACAATCTGTACCCTGAGGCACAATAAGAATATGGGCTAAATTACAATGACATGAGTGAAGTGTTTTGCTTCTTCTTGGACGGTTTTTATTAGGTACGCTAATTTAAATTTAAAAAAATCTTGAATATCAAATCGCTAATGTGATAGAAGAATTGTCTATAATTGAAAAAAAAAATTGTTTAAATCGTACGCTTTCCATCTATTTGGTGACGATTTTATGATAATATTATAATATTATTATGTAGTTCCATTTTGCGTAAACTTCGCTAGTAATAAGAATACGAATTATAACATCGAAAAATAAAATAATATTATTCATTGACAGAATTATTATTTTCGTATCGACGTATTTGGCTATTTATAATCCGTGCGCGGCTGCGATAAATAACCAGTTTTGACCTATGGTGCGGTACAGCTGCATATGTACGCGGGGTAGTGGTAGAAGTACTATTTCAGAAAGCTGCCGCTGTAGTCGTTCTAGCAGCACATGACGACGGCAAATTCGTATTTTTTTTGCCCAAAACATGGTTTTGTACTTCCAATAGTTCTCAGGCCTCGTTGATCGTAGAAACATTATTTTGGTATCAAAATAATCACGAGAAGTTGTACTAAATATTCTTGGAACAGATTTTCGATATCTAATTTTGTCGATTTTATATAATTTTTAAAAAAAAATGAAAATATAGTACAAACTTCAGATACAAATAAAATTGGTTAGAAAAAAAATTTTAAAATTCTGTTCCAAGAATATTTAGTACAACTTCTCGTGATTATTTTGATACCAAAACCATGTTTCTACGATTAACGAGGCCTGAGAACTATTGGAAGTACGAAAGCATGTTTTTCGGTCGATTATTTTCTACTGTGACGGCCTCTTAATAACCTAAATTTGTTGTCTTACGGCAAAATAGCTATACGCCAAATTGGTTTGGTCAGTACAAGTAGCCACGAAAAAATGTTCTAGATCGATATTCACTTGATTTCTTAAGTAGCGATTTTCTTATTTTGTAGTAATTTATAATGAATAACCGTAGATACTTTAAATTTATATTATAAGTTTATTTTATCAATTCCTGTACTTGATAAAATTTTGAAAATATTTAACTTGTTTTGAGCTGTATAAGCACATTTTCAATTTTTTTAGTTTTTTTTCTATAAATGTAAATAAAATATTATTAATTGGGTCAAAAAGGTAGAAAATTTAATACAAGACTCCTCATATATTGTTATAATAGCAGTTGAAGAATAATAAAAATATATAGGCAGTAGGCACACATTTTTTTTATAAGCATTTAAAGTTTAAATTTTGACAACATTTATCAAATTTAAAACTTAAGATTCATTTTGTAGTTAAAAATTTATAAAATGTTGAAATTTTTATAGCTAAGGATTGAAAATTTAAAACAAAGTCGATTATTCAGTAACCAAAAAATTTTAAAACATCTTTTTTTTTAGTTATTTTATGTTCAAATTTGGACGACACTGCATATTTAAATAACTAAGAATAACGATTAAAGTTATTTTGTTGTAATTTTATAATTATATTGATTCAACTTACTGGCTACAGGTTTGATAGTAAGTAATCTATTATATAAAAATAAGTCCGGTTTTCCTCCCTGACGCTATAACTCGAGAACGCACGAACCGATTTCCACGGTTTTGCATTCGTTGGAAAGGTCTTGGGCTCCGTGAGGTTTATAGCAAAGAAAATTCTGGAAAATTCAGGAAAAATTCAACAGAAAAGTGGGGAAATCGTTTTTCACATACAGCGCCATCTATTATACATAGCATGTACTTCAAACCAATAGCAACGGTGCGTGATAAAGTGTTTGACGGATAGTTGTTTATTATATAGTTGACGGATAGTTGTTTACATTATTCTCTGCTCAGTTAATTTCATTTAAGCTAAAATAAATTATGTAAATTATGTGGATCGTGCATTTGAAGTTAAATTCAACACTCTGTCCATAGTCCAAAATGCCTAGAGAACGACGTGCGAACATCGGCCGCCGCACAAGACATGCAAGCCAGCAACAAGTATATTCAAGGAACTTAAGAGAAGAAAGACAAAATATAATAAGAGAAAATGACCGATTGAGACATCGCGTGAGCACACGAAGATCATTGGCATCATACAATCGCTTGGCATTCCAATATGATCCCACTGCGAACTACAGTGATGATGAAAATTTTGATATTGGACGAATGACGACTAATGCGGCTAACTGAGGCTAATGCGGCACAACGAGCTGAGAGACCACCATCGACAACATTGACTAGCTTCTTTGCAATGTGTGAATCAGATCCATTCGCAGCGACGCTGATGTACGTTGAAATGCCCAAGTATTACACTTGGAATCAATCAACAAAGAAATTCCAACGTCGCAAACAAGGAACCCCAGTTCCAGACTGGCCACAGGTGTTTTCAACTGATGCACTAGGTCGTATGTACACTGTTCATCCTAGAAACGATGAATGTTTTTATTTGCGACTGCTGTTAGTAAATGTACGTGGACCGAAATCATTTGCGCATTTGAAAATTGTGAATGGCCACCAATGCCAAACATATCGAGAAGCATGTCAACTATTGGGTTTGCTGGAGAACGATTCTCATTGGGATTTAACACTTGCAGATTCAGTTGTTTCATCAAATGCGTACCAAATACGAACGCTGTTCGCAATTATCATCACCACATGTTTTCCTTCACAACCAATTCAGTTATGGAACAAATACAAATACGCCATATGTGAAGATATCTTGCATCGCTTGCGTATTCAAACGAATAATCCTGACATCCAAATAACCGATGAAACCTGGAGGAACAGGGAAAACATTTGTCATTTCATTGATTTTGGCCACTATTCGATCAAGATGTGACATAGCTTTGGCGTTAGCATCATCTGGAATTGCGGCGACTCTTCTAGATGGCGGTCGTACTGCATATTCTGCGCTTAAGTTGCCACTCAATTTAAACACAATTGATACTCCAACGTGCAATATTTCCCGATCCAGTGCAATGGGAAAATTGTTAATGCAATGCAAGCTCATTGTTTGGGATGAGTGCACAATGGCACATAAGAAATCACTTGAAGCACTTAACTTCACACTGAAGGATCTTCGGAGAAATAACAACATCTTTGGCGGCTTGATGATATTGTTGGCAGGCGATTTCAGGCAGACGTTGCCAGTAGTTCCCCGTGGAACGCCTGCAGATGAATTGAATGCTTGCCTAAAGGCATCACCTTTATGGAATAACGTAAAAACATTATCGCTAACCACTAATATGAGAGTTCAACTTCAAAATGATCAAAGTGCAGCACAATTTTCCAAACAATTGTTAGATCTTGGAAATGGAAAAGTCCCAGTTGATGCGACATCTGGATTAATTACTCTTACCAACGACTTTTGCCGATTTGTAGACACTCAATTAGTTCTTATTGAAAATGTTTTCCCAAACATTAGTGAGAATTATAAGAATTATGCTTGGTTAAGTCAACGAGCAATTCTTGCAGCAAAGAATAATGATGTCCACGCACTGAATTTCACCATTCAATCAAAAATTGCTGGCGATTTGGTGACATACAAATCCGTTGATTCAATAACAAATCCCGATGATGTAGTAAATTATCCAACGGAGTTTTTGAACTCTCTGGAGATACCAGGATTTCCACCACATAACTTGCAACTGAAAGTTGGTACAGTTATTTTGATACTGCGTAATTTGAATCCACCGCGACTTTGCAACGGTACTCGACTTTCGGTAAAGAGACTTATGCCGAATTTAATTGAGGCAACCATTATTAACGGAAAGTACGCAGGTGAAAATGTATGTATTCCTCGAATACCAATGATTCCGACTGATCTTCCGTTTGACTTCAAACGATTGCAATTCCCAGTTCGCCTTGCGTTCGCAATGACAATTAATAAGTCGCAAGGCCAATCGCTTAGTGTTTGCGGGATAAATTTGGAAAATCATTGTTTTTCACATGGACAGTTATACGTTGCGTGTTCACGAGTTGGGAAACCATCCGCTTTGTTTGTGTTAACGTCAAACCAAAAAACAAAAAATGTGGTTTACCAAAGAGCACTACAATGAAACAATTAAATAACACTTCATTTTAGTAGGTAATTGAAATGAATTTATTACTGTTGTGAAATGAAATAAATATTTTCCTTTTCAAATATATAACAAAAAAAATTTTTTTTCTTTATATTTTAATCACCAAACGAAAAAAAACATAAAACGAATCTGGTGGCGAAACGGAGTTCGCCGGGTCTGCTAGTTACAATATAAATTTAATATAAAATATCCTCACTCTGCTAAGAATCGTTTTTCGTATACCATTATTACAATTTGTATACAATTCATATAATGATATTTGATAATTTAATTCAAATTTAATACTATCCATTATACAGTGACCCACCTTTTTATTAATATTTTTTCTTAGTTTTCGATAAAACATTATTCACTCGGTTTTTTCAAGTTTTATACAAGGTTGCTTATAAATGGGTATTAGTGAAACTTAAAAAAAAAATGTTGAGCGTAATAGTTTCTCGTGAATGTTTGGAATGATTTTCTTATTTTGGTGCATTTTAAAAATGATTTACTGTAGATATACATAAAATTTTCACCAAATATCATTTAAAGAATATTATTATAGAATTTACATCAAAATATTTTGGTTCTTTTGAGCTCTTTGAAACTTTTAAAGTATATGATTATATTTGAAACACAAAATTACATTTTTAAATAGTTTTCAGTAAAAAATGTAGACTTCCTACAGTTTTACGAATAGGAAAATAAATTACTCTAATAGCAATAACATCATAAAATATAGGTACTTAGAAATAGGCTGACAGACTGTGAACGCTAAGAACCATTATTAGAACAGGTACAATCATTTTATATCATTGAAATCAAATTGAACTTATCCGATTCAGTGATACCACATGACACTTTATGTACAGCAAACGGGTCCCAAACCACTGGCCAAACCTTTACATTTATTAATTTTTATAAACTCTCTTTTAAGTTCAACTACATGTTTAAAAAATAATTGAAAAATATAAACATTTTATCGTGAAAATTAATACTATACTATAATGTAAATTTAATTCATACCCTTTTTGTAATAATTGACTGTCATTGTGATGGTATGTTTCATCAATAGTTTCCTCTTTAATAAAATCATTAAATTCTTGATCATCAACAATTTCCCGTTTAGTATTTTCATTAAATGCTTGATCACCACATACACCGTTAGGTGGTAAAGGCACCACTCTAGAACTGTGTAATATTTCATAAAACAATTAATCAAAATTAAAATTGTATAAAAAATGAATATAATAGGTACTATGATATGATGTAAATTTAATTCATACCCTATTTGAAGTGATGGACTATCATTGTTATAGTCTATTTCTTCAATATTTTCCACTTTAATACTGCCATTAAATACTTGGTTATCAATAATATCACATCTTATAAGTGGAATTGACAACACTCTAGAACTATGAGTTATATAATTATACCTAAAATAAATGGTAAAAAAATTAATTTTTTTATTATAGGTAGGTACGGGTAGGTACCACAGACTAGGATAAGAAAGACTGGAAACGAGCAAATTTGTAACGGATCCGAAGTACCTCTGCTGATTTACGTAACAGGTACATAGCTAGTTTTAACACTACCTAGTGAATGAAAATTATAAAAATCAATGGAAAATTGAAAAATCAAAATCCAAATAGTTGATATTTTACCAAGCAGATAGCGTGCATGTTGGCTATGTACCAATTTTTGGCAGGGAAGGGTAGAAGGTACCGAGGCAATTGCGCTCCGACTCTCTGTCACTGGCCATCATATCGTTTCCAGTCATGTCTATCTTAGTTTGTAGTAGGTTACTAATGTATAAATTAAAAACAATGCACAATTTTAATAATACATAAATTATCAAGATAATTAGTTTTTTTTTAAATAAAATTCATTCAAAACGTAGGTTAAAACGTAGGTTAATGCTACACTTATTAAAAAGTATTTACTCACTTGGTATTTATCTTGCAATCATCAATTGTGGTTTTTAATGGTTCCATATTGAATTATCGTATTAATTATTTGTTTTTCAATTAGGTACTGTGAACATGGAACATTACAATTAGGTAGGTACCTTTTATATCACACCTGTCATTTGGTTATAAAAGCAATTTTTAGGGTCTACACATGCACATATTTTTTTGTAAAACGTTTGCTTTGGACTGCCACAAATAAAATGAAAATACTGATATGTACCCATTTATAATTGAATATTAAGTCAGTATTCAGTATTTAGTATTTCTTTTTTACTTTTCAAATACATTTTCACCATGTTCACAATATTTACCAACTACAAAGGACAAATTTACAACGCCAATGAAACTGTCTTAGCCCTTCAGTTTTTTTATACATAATATGTTTCACACAGTCCAAACAATCAATATTGTCAAAAGTAAAAATGTTAAATTGCTGTAAAACATTTCTCCTTTTTATATCAATAAAAGAACATCTCTGTTGAATTTTAAACGGATGTTTTTAAATTTTGCTGAGGTATTTGCGCTTGCTCCACAGTGAGATAAACACGTGTATACTGTATAAACAATATTTAAGATAAAATTACACCACAATCCATAGACGCAATTAGGGGGAAGGACTAAGCCCACCAGTTTTTAATCATATTATATTAGTTTAAAATATTAGTGGATAGGGTTTGTGTTGCTGATACATATTTAGCCTCCCCCACAAAAATGATCACTAGTTACTCCTATGTTAAAAAACATAAAAAAATTCTGCATAAATACGTTGTGTTTATGTTGAATGTGGGCCAAAGAGAGAAAACAAATAGTGCCCTGACATCATCTTCAATTCCTACATAATATAACATAGAAAACCTTGAGTTCGGACAGTTCGGTATTCAATTATGATTTACTAACTATAAACTTTTGATGTAATGATATGAGATACTTTAATTACAACTTACAAGGTACTTACTGCTGGATAATTTATTATTTATCATACAATCTCAAATCCGCACCAACGGGCAACCATAATTAACCATAATTATTACACAAAAGGCAAAACGTAAAAACATAACAAAACTAAGTAAAATTATATTTATTCTTTAATAGTACTGTTGACCAATGCGAATGGGCGACGGGCGATGTTTTACACAAGATTATACTGAGCTTTCCTGTTACTGTATGTTAAGGTCTATGATTTAACCAGACGGTAAATGAAAACTATTTATTTTTTAAAATATCATGGGCACGGACAACGGGACAAAGTTCTTGATCAAGTGCTTGATGTGAATGGAATAATGGATAGGCTGTTAATATTGTGTTTATCATACGGGAACGAACATGAAAATATTTTGAGGTTATACTGGTTATAGAGGTCTTAGCACAAACCACGATTAAAGATATACAGGTTGCACATCGCCCTATAGTAAACCGCTTCCAGACTGATTTACAAAGTGACTATAAAAATCAGCTGTTAATAATTAACTAGTGGCGCTTAATGTCAACACTCAACCATATGTGTCGACATTTAGAACTAATTTTACACCTATATATCTATAATTGGTTAATTGTAATACTGCCGCTTGGAGCGCCACTGGTTAATTATTGGTAGTCATTTCGTATTTCACCTTATCAGTAGTCGATGTGCAACCAGTATATCTTTAATCGTGTCACAAACCACGATTTATATTATCTTTAATCGTGCTTCCTATGCTGCAATGTAAAAAATGAATAAGGTGCCCTGATTGGTTGGCTCCCAAATCAGTGTGACTACAAATACCACGATTAAAGATATACAGGTTGCACATCGACTACTGATAAAGTGA